TACTTGCCTACGTCACCCATTTATGGCATGCTTCATTAGAAAAACACGGGGAATCTCTAGCTGTCGCGTTGGACATATCGAAAGCATTTGACCGTGTTTGGCACGAAGGACTCCTCCACAAACTACCATCATACGGCTTACCATCTCTTATCGAGTTTTCTTTCAGGCAGATCGCTTCATGTGGTGGTGAACGGTGTATCGTCTGATACCATTGGCATCAATTCCGGCGTTCCACAAGGATCAATTTTGGCACCTACATTATTCCTTCTTCATATCAATGATCTGTTGGGAGTAACAACTTGCCCCATCCACAGCTTTGCAGATGATAGTACCCTCCATACTGCGTTCTTTTCCAGAATTCCCATTTCTTCCCAGGGAACTAAGAACTCACGGCGCAGGCAGGTCAATGCTGTCAATGAAGACCTTGCTGAAATCACAGCCTAAGGAACCAACAACCTAGTTGAATTCAACATCACCAAAACTCAAGCCTGTATTTTCTCTAGAAAGGCGGAACTCAGTATGCCCGACATTCTAATGTCTGGCACCACCATCTCCACCAAGCCCACCATATCTATGCTCGGTATTTCCATCAGCAACACTCTTTGCTGCTTCACAAAAACTCGGATTCTTGTTCCGTGCGAAAAGCTACTTTACACCTCAACAGCTTATTCTCTAGAATACTGTTCCCACATATGGGATTCAGCACCAAAAGATACGCTGATGCTCTTAGATTCCATCCAGAGAAGAGCCATTCGCCTAGTGGGTGACGCTACACTCACTCACTCTTTGACATCATTGGAACACCGTAGAAAGGTCGACGACCTTTCACTTTTCTATCGATAGTTCCACGGGAAATGTGCTTCGGAAATCTCTGCTATCATCCCTTCACTAGCAATACCAGTCAGACGAACTAGACAAGCCCAGTCAGCACATCCTTTCGTTGTCAACCTCGAAAGATGTCGAACAGCACTTTATCAAAACTCCTTCATCCATTGAACGGCTAGGCTCTATACCTTTTCAACTTCAATTTCGGAAAAAGTAATCTCGATTTCAGAATTGGTTAGTTCGATTTCAGAAATGGTAAACTCAATTTCAGAATCGGTGAGATGAATTTCAGAAAAAGTCCATTCAATTTCAGAAATGGTAAGTTGTATTTCAGAATTGGTAGGTTCAATTTCAGAAAAAAATCCTTATATTTGTTCGAAATGTTTCCAATTGTATGGGAGATTAACAAACCATATTTACAATATTCAACTTGTCAAAAACAATTCAATAACATAATTATAATCTCAATTTAATCCACATCAGATGCCTTCCATCCGAATCGCTGGAAGATAATAGCGTTGCACATGATTATGAGAATGCAAACACATTTGAGGTGTTATCATTTTCATTGAATGATCTGCACATTCCTCAAGACATCGCAGTCTGAATTCTATCTGGTTGAGCAAGCTGTTCGGATCCCCAGCTATGACCCTTTGGCGATGCTCTTGCAAGAGGCTCTTCACTTCTGACTTGAAAGCACCCCATATATGTTCAATCTGATTCAACATAGGGCTCTCAAACACCGTTCATCCACTGTAAACAATATTCTATTTTGCAATCAAAAACATTTCAAACATATAAAAGGATTTCATCTTCTGAAATTGAACCTACCAATAATAATTCTGAAATACAACTTACCATTTCTGAAATTGAATGGACTTTTTCTGAAATTCATCTCACCGATTCTGAAATTGAGTTTACCATTTCTGAAATCAAACTAACCAATTCTGAAATCGAGATTACTTTTTCCGAAATATAACTCACCGATTCCGAAATTGAAGTTGAAAAGGTATAGAAGTTCAAAAAAATTCCAATACCTACATCGTATCCCTATCCTCCCTAGGAACGCACGATGTTCTTTAAAAATTATAGGGATTCCCTTTCGTGCGCTCAAAGCGATAAAAAAAATCCCTAAGTCGATATTCATACAGTCTGTAGGTTGATCGAGTAGTAGGCTGCGAGTCATTTCTCTATACCTTTTCAACTTCAATTTCGGAATCGGTAAGTTATATTTCGGAAAAAGTAATCTCGATTTCAGAATTGGTTAGTTCGATTTCAGAAATGATGAACTCAATTTCAGAATCGGTGAGATGAATTTCAGAAAAAGTCCATTCAATTTCAGAAATGGTAAGTTGTATTTCAGAATTGGTAGGTTCAATATCATAAAAAAAACTTATATTTGATCGAAATGTTTCCAATTGCATGTGAGATTAACAAACCATATTTAAAATATTCAACTTTTCAAAAACAATTTGATCCACAGATGCCTTCCATCTGAATCGCTGGAAGATAGTGACGTTGCACATGATTATAAGAATGCAGACACATTTGAGGTGTTATCATTTTCATTGAATGATCTGCACATTCTTCAAGACATCGCAGTCTGAATTCTATCTGGTTGAGCAATCTGTTCGGATCTCCAGCTATGACCCTTTGGCGATGCTCTTGCAAGAAGCTCTTCACTTCTGAGGCACCCCATATATGTTCAATCTGATTCAACATAGGGCTCTCAAACACCGTTCCATCCACTGTAAACAATCTTCTCTTTTGCAATTAAAAACATTTCGAACATATAAAAGGATTTCATCTTCTGAAATTGAACCTACCAATAATAATTCTGAAATACAACTTACCATTTCTGAAATTGAATGGACTTTTTCTGAAATTCATCTCACCGATTCTGAAATTGAGTTCACCATTTCTGAAATCGAACTAACCAATTCTGAAATCGAGATTACTTTTTCCGAAATATAACTCACCGATTCCGAAATTGAAGTTGAAAAGGTATAGATTTCTTGTGATTTTCTATCCTATTTTCTACATTTTTATTAGCACACGGAAGGGAGTTCCTATTATGTTATAGGAGGAACAAGAACATCGTGTGTTTCCTTTAGGAAAACTTCCTTCGGCAAATAATTCGCCGTTTCATAGACAAATGAGTTTTGGTGGAAGAATTCGAGTGTGATGTCGACGATGGATGTGCTGACTTTGTCTGTTGAGTACCTATACGTCTGACTGATATATTGATAGTGGTGAAATGATAGCAGAGATTTATGGAAAACATTTCCAGTGGATGTGTCATCTACTTATAGAAAAATGAAAGATCGCCGATTTTCCTATAGTGTTTCAATGACTTCGAGGATTTAGTGACTGCGCCATCATCCGCCAGGCGATGAAGAACAACTCCACATTGCTTGGCCTTACTGTAAATGATGAATCCAAGTTCAGAGACCATGTAGTGAAGTTGAGTAAACGAGTAGCTTCAGGTTGTTATGCTCTAAGAATCATTTCTGATGAGTTGGGATATTCCCTATCAAGAACAGTCTACTTTGCATTTGTAGATATTTGTAACGTCGAAATGTCCAGCACTTCAGCAACCATCAATAGCAACGTGGACGTTTCCAGCGCTAAAAATAACACGAATAAAAAAAATGCTGTTTATAATAATTGTAATTTTTACTGCCGAACGCCACCTGGCAAGGAAAGAAACACGCGTACGCGTTTATTTCGCAGACGTTGAACGCCTCGTGGTGTATGAATGCTGAGATGCGTTCACGTTGAGTCAGGTTACCACCAGATAGAGGTCAAGAAGCTATCTGGTACAGCTCTGTACTGATGAGAGCCAACAGCTCGAAACAATTGCGATTTTATTCGTCTATACGAATTATTGCATAGATTTCGGAAGGATGTAATCCAATGTTCTGCGTGGCATGTAGCCAGGAAATTAGTTGTTTTTCTCTCGTTATCTACTATTTTCGTTTTTATGAACTAGTGTGGTAATGACTTAGAGTTTCTCTCTATTTGTGACCATTTCATTCTACTTTGAGTATCTGGGTTTCTCCTAGTTGAAGTATTCATTTATTCGTTATTTTTCGTCGAGGAAAACAATTGTGTACGCACTATCCCAGGCAACCGCATATGACGAATAGTCACGTCACTGTGACACACCCAATAGGTTGCGTGCAAGAACTGACAGATGACCGACACTGGAGGCAAAACATTGAAACACATCATCACTTTTCTTATTTGTTTACAAGTGATCAAAATAGTTTTTCACAATTATTTTGGCATAGGAATCGTATTTTTCCGCTATTCATCAATTCGCTCATGCCATCACATTATGCTGTTGTGAAATGCACAAAAACTGCAGCGGAAGACGAAGTAATCCGGTTGGTACATTATGATTAAAAGTAACTAATAACCTACTATAGTCACTCACATATAGTTTTCATTTTTGAATTTTGGTAATTTCTCTGATTTCTCATCGGAATTCCTTCTGCGATAGGAGCTAATAGAAATACACCTGAAATTTCTAAAATAATGCAAGAAGATTGGGTACATGCAATCAATCGGGAGGACTGGTCTAACATGCTGACGATCGTGTGTGTTGTAGACATTTTCAATCTATTAGCAGTATTAGCTTGTATTGCAGAAGTGGCAGAAGGCAGAAGGAATTTTAATAAGGAATGACAACATTTCATAATGATAACTATGTGAGATTACTATTTACCTGAAGAATCATATTCTTTAGTCTCTTGCTGCATTTTTTGTGCATTGTACAACAGTACAATGCGAAGGCATGCTTGAATTAATGAATAGCGCAAAAAACACGATTCGTATGCCAAAATATTGTGAAAAACTATATCAATCCTCTGATTCCTTTGTAACCAAATAAAAAAGTGAGGTTGTGTTTCAATAATTCACAGAAGAATGAGGTTGTATTCCAATATTTTGCCTCCAGGGTCGGTCATCGTGCACGCGACCTATTGGTTATTTAATGTCAGAGACGTCACACACCATATTCTCACGTCAGTTTGACGTACTTTCTCGCGAAACGCTGCATTGGGAGTTCACCTTAAGAGTGCAAGATCCAATCGAGCTTTTTTCGAGAGACATCCGAAGAGCGGCCAAGCATGGCCAACCCGGCAATCCGGCCGGTCGTCATTTCATTTCACGTTCGGCCTTCTTGACGATCGCACGTGCTTCTGTTTGGCTCACGTGATCGCGTATATCGTCAACTCGACGAATTGACATTTGCGTCGCCTTTCGTGCGTTTTTTTTTCTGGTTATCAAACACACTGCCGGTACTAGAAACAGGGAGCGAAGATGTTCAGGTGAGTCCGGAACTGAAAAAACAAGATTTTTTGTGTTAGAGAAGTTGACTGTTTATAGACATTGGTGCAGAAATATTTTTTTCTACTACTGCTATGGAAAGTAGCGCATTTCTCATAGCTAACTCAGTTTCAAAACCATGTGTTGCTCATACTGTGAGAAATATTTTTTTTCTCCGATTGGCAGCAAATATTAATTTTGCTGACACATATCAATCAGCAAAGTATTACTTTTCCTGCCTAGGCAGCAAAGTGGTTACTTTGCTGATTGATATGAGTCAGCAAAATTAATAATCCATAGATCGTTTATAATTTCCTTCATATTTCATCCAAGACTTCTCCGGCAACAAATTCAACCCTATATTTTTTGCCACCTCTCTTATTTCTGGGGGAGTAAGTACTTCCAGGTCGCTATCACTGTCCATTATATAATTATTATGTACATTTCCATATATTCTAACCATTTCAACAATTGCGATTTCTATCAAATTTTATTTTAATTGAACACTACAGGAAAAATAAAGAGATTGTGGGAATTGTAATAATTTGCAAATACAATATCCTCCTATATCATTACGAAGAATCGGAGAAAAAATTATATGTTCAACTCGGCAGCACGGCAGCAAAGTAGATTGACTGCCGAGGCTGAATTCATAGCCGAACGTAGCGAGGCTAGGAATTCAGCTAAGCTACTACTTTGCTGCCTAGTAAAACAAATAACTATTCTTACGGCACTTTGCCAACACCACATACATTTCCATGGAGAATCAACAAAAATCGACCAAAACTTGGCTGCTGTTCAGCTTTGAATAGTTGTCACAACTCACAACTGTCAGAAGAAGTTTTTTAAATTCTTTAGGGTAGTTCTCTTTAGTGCTTTTGATAAAAATCGCATTCTCCATCAAATATTATTCCAACACTTCATAATAAATAATATGATGTATAAACCAAGATGTGACGATTTTGATAAAACACCGCCAGAGACAGAGATAATGGAAGAAGCTGCGAAAGTTGGATTTGTTTCTGGAAAAACGTATGAATTGGCACAAACGAAAAATTTGTGGAATCTAAAAAAATACTGAAATGAACTTTTTTTCGGAAAGTGTACTTTTTTGAAATACTTACAGGAACTAGGAAATGCGTGTACTCTTTGGTCACAATATTCAATGTGGCATAGTGCCACATTATGAAATGAATGCCAATAAGCTACATTTCGGCTACATTACTCGGATTCTTCGAATAAGTGTAGTTGTAGAAAAAGTATAGTGTGCAACATGTGGGGAAAAGCACTTTTCCCACTTCTTGCACAATATAGCACGCAATTTAGTTTGGGAAGTGTCATTCTCCCGCAGTAGTGCGGGAAATGTTTTCCCACACTCTTGCGGGAAAATCGGTTATAAAATATTCTCGCAAAATATGAGTGGTGGGTGACACAATATGAAAATTTTAGGTCATTTTGTTGCAGTCTTTAGTAAGATTGTACAAAATCATCCATCAAATTGCACTATTAATTATTGTGAAACTGAATAAATATTGAAAAATAATAATTGATTGTTATATACATATATCCCCTTATAGCCTTTGATTGATCTGATGTGGGAAACAATTGTTGTCATGCCAATCAGAACACAAATTAGTCAGTGTGATTCTCAGAGTGACAGACAGAGCGTTACTGTCATTTTCGATTCAGTGGAATTGCGATGAACAACTTCCAGCTACAGATGCGATACAGATGAGTTATTGCCAACGAAGACTTAAGAATTAAGAAACGTATGAGAATCCCTATAATGTTCAAAGAACATCGTGCGTTCCTAGGGAGGATAGGGATAGGAGGTATATACTTCCTCAGGCAATGAATTCCAGAGCCCAGCCGTTCTATGGATGAAGGAGTTTTGATAAAGTGCTGTTCGGCATCTTTCGAGGTTGACAACGAAGGGATGTGCTGACTGGGCTTGTCTAGTTCGTCTGACTGGTATTGCTAGTGAAGGGATGATAGCAGATAATTCCGAAGAACATTTCCTGTGGAAGTATCGATAGAAAAGTGAAAGGTCGCCGACCTTTCTACGGTGTTCCAATGATGTCAAAGAGCGAGTGAGTGTGGCGTCACTCACCAGGCGGATGGCTCTTCTCTGGATGGAATCTAAGAGCATCAGCGTATGTTTCGGTGGTGAACCCCATGTGTGGGAACAGTATTCTAGAACAGGCCGTATCTGTGCTTTGTAGATCATGAGGAGCTGTTGAGGTGTAAAGTAGCATTTCGCACGGAACAAGAATCCGAGTTTTTGTGAAGCAGCTTTTGCGATGGATCTGACATGATTATCCCATGAAAGAGTGTTGCTGATGGAAATACCAAGCATAGATATGGTGGGCTTGGTGGGGATGGTGGTGCCAGACATTACAATGTCGGGCATACTGAGTTCCGCCTTTCTAGAGAAAATACAAGCTTGAGTTTTGGTGGCGTTGAATTCAACTAGGTTGTTGGTTCCCCAGGCTGTGATTTCATCAAGGTCTTCATTGACAGCATTGACCTGCCTGCGCCGTGTGTTCTTAGTTTCCTGGGAAGAAATAGGAATTCTGGAAGAGAACGCTGTATGGAGGGTATATACTATCATCTGCAAAGCTGTGAATGGGGCAAGTTGTTACTCCCAACAGATCATTGATATGAAGAAGAAATAATGTTGGTGCCAAAATTGATCCTTGTGGAACGCCGGATTTGATGCCAATTGTATCAGACGATACACCGTCCACCACCACATGAAGTGATCTGCCTGAAAGAAAACTCGATAAGAGATGGCATAGCCACACAAGATTTATTGAATGGTGCAATAGTAAAAAAGTGAAAAGAGCAAATAAAGAAGTAGTATTTTTGGCTCATTTTCTATAAATGTCTGAAACCTAGAGGCCAAACACCATGGGCATGCTGGCTTCCGCAATAAGCTTACCTACATAATGCTTCAAACGGTACACACAATATAGATATATCACTAATTATTCGAAGATAGAGAATATATCACTATTGTTAGTTGTTTCTGTTTGCAGGCATAATTGATTGAACAAATCAATTTCCTTTTCCTACGACTAGTGTCTTTCCTCCACTCGACTGCTTCGCATCGTTCGAGTCAATGGCATTCACTTTCCGCACTTGTTAGGAAAATGACTATTACAGCCCTCTACAAGAGAACTCGTTTTTATAATAGAATAAAAGTGAGAGAAATTCGCCTAACGTCAACTTTCGTTTCTAGTTAACAAAAGTCATAGTATACTACGTAATATGTATTTTAAGAAGCATCTTACGCACGAATGGATAAGTTACTTGCTTAAGTAAGTTATACAACTTGGGGTTTAGGGGAGTTTTCTTAGACTGGGTGTGCGATTACCTTTATCATAGAAAAATGTTTGTGAAAGTGGGTAACAACTTTTCTAGTAAACATCCTTTGAACATAGGTGTTCCGCAGGGCTCGGTATTGGGGCCATTGATATTTTTATCATCCATAAATGATATGCTCCAACACATCAATACCGAACTGCTAACCCTATTTGCTGATGACACCTCATTATTAGTCACAGGTCGCAACCGAGAAGAACTAGTTTTGTCCACCAAACAAATTATGGAATGCTTCTAAAGTTGGTGTGCGAAAAACTGCTTGATATTGAATGTCTCCAAGACCGATTGCATATACTTCACTTCTCAAAATAGCCCATATATCATACAATTCAATCAGAATGGAAAAAACATTGCTTACACGGATTCCACAAAATTCCTGGGTATATATCTCGATAGAAACTTACGTTTTAATCAACACATCAACGTGCTCAGTAAGATATTGAATAAATCCAGATTCGCAGTATATAGAATAAAGTCATCGTTGCCGATTGAGTCACAATTGACGGTGTACTTTAGTCTTTTCTATAGGAACTCTGTGAACAGTCAAATAATCTTTATATCACAAAAAAGGATAATTCGCAATATTTTCAATTCATCATCACAAGAGTCGTGCAGGCCCTATTTTATTTCTCACAATATCTTAACATTCCCATGCCTTCACATCTTCAAATGTCTTCTGCTCGTTAAGGATAATTACGTTAAATTGAAATAAAATTCACAATACCACAATTACTCTACCAGAAATGGTAGTCTTTTGTATATTCCTAAACATAAGACATCCGAATTCGAACGATCTCCCACCTACCAGGGGATAATAGTATATTATGTTACAAGTGTTATAAACGTCCTTTTAGTAACGAGTGTTTAATAAACGAGTGTCTAGAAGAGTTTATAAACGCGTTACATACTATACTTTTTCTACGACATACCTGCTATTCCTGCTAACCTACAAAATAATTCGAAAGAAATGGGAATTGAGAACATAATACATGCAACTGCAAGCAACCAGCGAGACACGTATAAGTGCTAATGGTTGTAGATGTGTCCAGTCCATTGCATACTTACCTTTGTTTCACATTTATCGTCATGCTCAGCGCAGAATAAATGCATTGTCTCAAAGATGGATGCTTAATTTTTCCACTTCTTGGAGATATGCAAGTACCAAAACATTCCCTTCGATTTCACTTTCGTCTACATTGCGCATATATTTTCAATGAAAAATTCGGATACAAACGAAAATTGTTTGAATAATTCTGATACAAAATTCGAAAATGACAGTTGACAATTCCTACAATTGACAGGCCAGACATGTCTCAAATTACTGAAGCTGAGTTTAATGAACTGTGTTGCCATGGTAAAGTGTTTAAAATTATGAATAAATCACAGATCGTCAATCCGTGATTAATCGATCATTTAGCGTGGTAGAGGTACATATCCGTACGCTAAATGCCATTTCAGTTATTTGAGTAGAAAAAATTCTATAACCACTTGCCAGAAACGATCAAAAAGCTCAATAACAACGTCTTCAAAAGCAAAGTGAAGTCTATATTATCCTCAAAAGGTTACTACAGCATCGATGAATTCATGGCTGACTGCGACATTGATCAGCCTGCTCGAT